TGGTGCCTCAAGAGCCCCTGAGCCAAAAGAGGAGGGAGGGGAAGAGAGGCCCCTTGCTCTGGCTTCAACCAGAGCACATCTAATATACATAAATATATATACTATGGTTATATTTATATAGTATAAGTATCTAATTATATATTATATATATATATATAACTACATATATATGTATGATGTTATGTATATATATAGATATATAGCACCCACTTAGAATTTTGTTAGAAAAAATTCCCAAACACTGTAGCATACCATGATGAGTCCTAATGCCCTTATGATCTACACTAGAAACTTCTTGAAGTCAGAGACCTCATCTTATCCTTTCTTTGGTCTCACAACAGTGTGGAACCTCCCTTGACCTGTGAGCCAGCCTTCGGAAGAAGGAGCCCATGGAAATCCTTGCCCTGGCGATGCTCTGGGCTCCAGAATAGCTCTGTCTAAGCATCTCCCATGACCCCTGGCAGCCTGGCTGTCTGCTTCTCACTAAAGCCAATTAAATTACTCCCGGTACCTGCAGCCTTCTCGCTGTTACCAAAACTCATTGAGTTCTCGCCCAAGAGGGAAGTGATGTCTTCTCCAAATATCCTGAGGCAATTTTCAATGAGAAATTGTACAAGACAAATCTGTAACACAAAAAGACAAGACTGGGGTGCTCTTTTCCATAGGGCATAGTTATAAATCACATTTTGTATACAGACCTTGGATCTAAGAAAACATGTGAAGGACTTCTCAGAAAAATTCAGAGTTGATAAAAATATGTAGAAACCAGGGGCTCCTGGGTGGCTCAGTCGGTTAAGCGTCTGCGTTCGGCTCAGGTCATAATCCCAGGGTGCTGGGATCAGCCCTACATCGCGCTCCCTGCTCAGCGGGAAGCCTGCTTCTCCCTCTCCCACTCCCCCTGCTTGTGTTCCCTCTCTCGCTGTGTCTCTCTCAGTCACGTAAATAAATAAAAGTTTAAAAAAAACACAAAAAAACAGAAACACATAGAAACCAGAGTTCTCTCAGAAATAACTTAGAAAGAGTGATACTTTCCCGTGTACTTTGGGTACACATTTTAAAATACTGCCCATCCGTGGGCTAAAGTTATAATGCGTGGCCTAGTTTAAGAGCTAACATTTTGGGATCAGTGGTTACGTCTTTAAGCCTAGGATAAATTTCGGGGCCCCTCTGTTGGGCGTCTGACTCTTGATTTCGGCGCAGATCACGATCTCATGGTGGTGAGATCCAGCCCCACATGGAGCCAACTTTGGGCTCCGTGCTCAGCGGGGAATGGGCTTGGGCTTCTCCCTCTCCCTCTCCCTCTTCTTCTGCCCCTGCCCCGCTCACACTCTCTTTCCCTCTCTCAAATAAATACATATCAAAAAATAAATAAAACAAGGATAATTTTCAAAGTAGCCTACCTTATTAAAGTTTACTTATTTTTTGCTTTTAAATTTTGTTTCCAGTTTTATTGAGCTGTAACTGATGTATACCATCTTATGAAACTTTATAAAGTATGAACAAAACTTAAGAAAACCATTTCTTAAATGAAGAAGTATCATAAAGTTGGGAAGCAGGGATTTTGGTGGGGTTGTGAAGGAAAACCCACACAGCTGGAGAGAAAACGTATCTGTCTGTCTAACTTCAGTCCCTTCTCACGCATTGCTTTGCCTCATGCTGGCTCTCTCTGGGTGAGCTTGGGGAAGACCTGTCATCTTATTAGGATATTCTGGAATCTCTTGCTAGTTTCCATATGACGTAGCAGAGGTGAAAGAGTAGCTGAGTACTTTTCTAGATGAGCCACAATTGGCAGAGGAAGGCCAATGTGTTTGGAGCCATGGGGGCTCATATTGCCCAAGCCACCCAGGATGTGCCAGTGATGACCGGAGGAGCTGGCTGTTGTCGCCATTGTGTAGTGAGGAAACCATGGCTTTGCCCAAGGTTACGAGTCCCTCAGGGATTAGGCTGAGAGTTGAACCTTGACTGGTGAAGCTCCAAAGCCCAGGTTCTTTCCTATCGTATCACATGACTCTTCTCTCTCTCGTTTAGTCAGTCTAGCGTTTAGTCTCCTGGGGGGGGGAAGAAGTGACTCGACTGCTCCGAGTTTCCCGTTTAACGACACCCCTTCCCAGACCCCGCCAGAGTAGCATAAAGAACTCTGCCACTCCACAGGGGCCTAACGAAAATGTGCACTTCACAAAGTTCCATCCGTCAGAGTTACTACTGCACATGTCTGGTTCAAAGTAGGGATTCTACCCCCTGGGGGACAAAAATGAGAGCTCTCATTACCTTTCTTATCAAGTTGTCTTCCAATTCCAAGCTGCCGGAATCAGGTGGGTAAAGAACGCTTGGGGCTATACAAACGGATAAATTATAAGCTGTCATCTGATTGGATGAGGAATGTTGCTCAATGTTGTATAGCACTCCAAAAAGGTATCTCAAGAGAACAACATTTGCTCTTGGCAGCTGGGCTAAAAGCCTAAGGTCAGAAAAACACACTTTTAAATTAGGCAAGTGATTCCACTTAGGAGGTTGGAAAAACAGAGACAGGGAACAGGATACATCCTTGTATATCTAGCACACAACCCGCTCTAGCAGAGTTCCAGGCATGAATGTAGACAAAATTGTTGCCCTGAATTCAGTTCCTGAGCCAGATAAACACTTCTCTGGTTAGGTAAATGTCTGACAGATTTTTAAGGTCATAGCCCTGGCAGTTGTTGCTCTTGATCTGTCTTGGACCAGGGAATTTTGTCTACCAGTTTCAAGGATCCAGAAGGTGTCAAACGGCCAAGGAGTCCACATTAATAAGATCAGGAGAAGAACAATAATAGCCCTAAAGCGTGCCTCTATTCTGAAGCTGGGCCCCATGGGTGTGAAGACTTGAAACTCTTTGGCGTTGGTCATGATTATAGTGGGCAAAGCTGGAAAACGTAAGCCAATGTTTTCCTCATAGTATGTTGGGTGTATTTTGGAGATGTGACCAGAGTAGAGTAATTATTGCATCGTTACCTCCGAGCTGCAGTTATCATCTCCTCTTTGTTGCCTTGATCAATAACACCGAGCCATTTGTCATAGAGGTCAGATAAAAATACACTTCCTGGGATATTTCTTAGAAAGTCCTTAGGGAGATAAAAAAATATGTGTATATATTATAGAAAATATGTATTGGAAATATTCCAGAGAAAATATGTACGTAAAAAATTCAGTTCAGCCCCCACTTCCTTTACAGATACCCAAACTGGGACCCACACGGAGCTCGGCTCTGACTCTCCATTGACTTGCACACGCAGGAGCAGGTGCTTGGATTTTCTCCCGCTAAAACTTAGAGGCATAAAAGCAGAGCTTAGCCTGTGGTGGCAATGAAGATAAAGCTCCCTTCTATCATCTGGAACTTATTTTGTGTGTGTCCTTTTTTTTTGCAAAGTACCACAAACTGACTGGGTCTGGCTATAGACCATCCTAAATCCTATTAGCTTCCTGGACAGAAATACACATACCCATGTTGCTTGTTTTAGACAAGGTGCTAGCTCTTAACTCTAGCAAGAAAAGGCCTGAAACAATCAAAACACAAACAGGTGGGCTCTTGCACACATATTAGGAAAGAACTAGGTCTTCTCACTCGGGGTATGTGTGCTCCCTGGAAGAAAGCTACTCCCACAATTGCTTCATTCTTCCTTTTCTTAACTGTCTAAAAGTCGAGAGTCTAATGGCAGACTCACTGTGGTCCTGAGGATAGATTCATTTCTAGTTTAGGCCAATTGTCCAGTTAGTTTGCCATGATATTATCAAGGCCAAGGTTGCAGAGTCTGATTCTCCACCAAGATCCGTCAACTTCAGGAAGAGAAAACTTTAGAAATGTCTAAGCACTCTCCCCACAAGTGCTCACCCTCTTCCTAGCCGGTGCTTATAACACGGAATCAGGAAAGAACCTCCTAACTCTTGCTAGAAAATCGATTCCATGTGTGCACCTTACAGAGGGCAACACTCATCTTGCTACCTAGTGTATCATCATTCTTCTCCTGTCTCCTGATGCCTGTATGTATATTACTACTGGATATCACTATGGCCCCAGTGTAGGAGTGGTTACCTAAGTCATTTCTGGACCTTGCTATTGATCACATCTTCGAACATTAACGGGGGACAAGGGAAGTCCAAATGTGACTGAGATTCTACGACTGTAGTCATTACTACGTTAACATAGGGTTGTTCAGAGCCGTTCATAAGTGCCAAGGTGGATGGATTAAATTCTTTCCCTGTTCTCTTTCTTTTGGAAAGTTTGCCTTCATTAGGAGGGTGGTGAGGATGTTTTCATGGGTAAACTGTGTGTATGTATCGGTGCGTATTTGGAAATTTATTATCATGACTAGTAGTCATTTCAGTATTAGTATTTTGCATGGAGTCTTCAGGAGTGAAGGTGGGGAGGGCGGTGTGTAGTGAAAACAGAAAGTATTTCTAACACATGGGGCTTTTAACTCCTAAAGTAGCTTCCTTAAATTTTGATTTTGTCAAGCGTTTTTCAGCTTGTCAGGTTCTTAATCTATTATGCCCATTATGGTTCTTGAGCAGTCTTGATGAAGGACACCAATCATAGCTTCAGTTACTCGTGTGTGGATAATGCTAGAACCTTCCCTACCTTTAAGACGGATGCGACCACATGAACAGATTCGCTGTACGGGTTCACTTTGACGCCAGAATTTAGTTTCTCCTTTAGGACATGGCAGGATTTTATATTGGCTGAGTTTCTGAATATGCCTTCTGTGAGGGGCCCTTTTTGATTAATAAAGGAAAGCATAGCCTGTAGGAAGAAAAGAAAAGTATAAGGCATCTCATATCCACAAACGCAGAGCACAAGCTTGCCTCCATTTTGAAAGAGGAGGGGAATGTAATGGTACACTGTTTTAGAGCGGGAAGGACCAAAGTCAATTTAGATTGTTTTTTTTTTTTTTTTTCAGTGTCTCTCTATATACTTTCTACCGAAATATCCATTTTACAGTCATACACTGAAACATTTTAAACACTTCTTTTAATCAGATTTTCCTTTCCATTGAGTTTCCACTCTTAAATCTAACTTCTCTGCTTCAAGGCCTTTGCGGAATCACCGTCTGTTTCCTACTTTACCATGCTTTTCTCATTATTCCCCTACGTAGATGCTCTTCCCCAAGTATGGAAGTCTATTTAGGGAATACTCATTTCCCATTTGTTTATTTCTCTTTAAGTGACTGTATACTCCTTTCCTAATTGTTCTATTTCCTTCCCCCTTTTAAAGTCAGGCTCAGAAACTCTCTTGTCCTTCTCTGATTACCCTCCCTTCTCATGAGTCTTAAATTGTCTTTTGCTCTATCTTCATGTCCTCTCTCTGCTGTGTAGAATCTTAATAAGGGCTGGACTCAGGGAATCCAATGGATCTGAAGTCTATTATGCTACTTATCTATTGTGTGAGCTGGGGCACATACATCCTGTACTGAGGCTTTTCTGATTCGGTTAGCAAGTGTGGAGGATGATAATCCTAGCTAGCCCCTAAATTTGCTGTGATGCAAGGACCTGCGGTAGTGGCTAGCAGGTAACAAAGTAGCTAATATGATACATTTCTTCATAGCTAGGAGAATGTTCCCTACATCCCGTACAGTGCTTGCAGAGACACTGAATACTCAGTGAAGGTCCACACTGACAATTCACTACAGCAGTTTGAGATAACACAGGCCAAACTCTGTGGCTTTCATTTGACATATTCTGTTAGGATTAACAGATTCCTATTTGCCAGAGGATGAGTCTATGTTCGTGTCAGATGTTTGCAGTTGTTAGACTGAGTAGACTCCGTTGAAGGAGACTTGAGACTCATGTGAGTGCAGGAAGGCAATGAAGGGAGAGTGTGAAGATGAGGTGGACTCTCAGAGACTCACATACACAGAGTCATTTTGACTGATCTGAACAGGCCTCGGTGGGTCTTTGCGGAAACAAGACCCAAGTGGAATGGACAAGAATGTCTTTTCCTGTTGTATTTGCCTCATGACTCTGCTGGACCTAAGTCAGATTCTGTTCCTTGAAATAACAGTAACAGAGCTTCTCAGCCCAAGCCAGGGGCTGTCTAATGACTTCTCCATTTGGGGATAGATTTGGATGAGGACACGTGGCCTCTCAGAGTTTCCCCACCTCAGGAGGGCTCTAGAAGTCCAAAAGGAGATGACCTACCAGAATTGGGAAGGGCAAGTTGTCTTTATCACACACATCCATGAGGGGAACTCCAAAGAGCTGTCCTGGCTTTGCGGAAGGTGGGGCTGTGCACTGGTTGTGCTGACAAGTGCTGGAACTCTGACAAAAGGCTCTGTCACTGAGAGAACGGCTTGTCACAGTCTTACGGCCGGAGTCTAAGGAAGAAGAGAGAGTACTAGTAGTACTAGTTGTTGTTTAATACGCTGAACCTTCTTTGTCCTTTTTTTTTTTTTTTTTTACAGATTTTATTTAAATTTTGACAGAGGGAGAGAGACAGCGAGAGAGGGAACACAAGCAGAGGGAGGGGGAGAGGGAGAAGCAGGCTTCCCTCGGAGCAGGGAGCCCGATGCGGGGCTCGATCCCAGGACCCCGGGATCATGACCTGAGCTGAAGGCAGACGCTTAATGACTGAGCCACCCAGGCGCCCCAGACACATCTTAATTCCTGATGACTTGTATTTTCCTAAAGATTTCCTCAAAGCAATGTGGTAAGCATCATAAAGCCAAGAAATGTCAGAAATATGGAGGGATTGATGATACGTGTCTCCAGGTTCTGAATCGAAAGTCTACCTTCTAAGGTGGACTGCTGCCAGGTTGCTGTGATTAGCTAGGCTCAAATCGTACTAGCTCTAGTCTCAGGGGCACTTCTCCTAGTCCTATTAATGGCTTTTTTTGGATTCCATCCATCATCTTATTTAGTGTTTACCACAATTCTAAGATTTAGACATTATTTTTATCCACATTTTAGAGATGAATAAACTGATGCTGAGCTAGAAAAACTGATCAAAGGTAATATAGCTGGTAAATGGGGGCACAGGACTTTACACTCTGGAGAGGTTTTTTGACATCAAGTCAAGTCCTTTTTTCTCAATGATGCCAGTTCTTTTCAACCTGTTTCAAAGGGCACTGGAATCCTGTGGTGCCTCAAGAGCCCCTGAGCCAAAAGAGGAGGGAGGGGAAGAAAGGCCCCTTGCTCTGGCTTCAACCAGAGCACATCTAATATACATAAATATATATACTATGGTTATATTTATATAGAATAAGTATCTAATTATATATTATATATATATATATATATAACTACATATATGTGTATGATGTTGTATATATATATAGATATATAGCACCCACTTAGAATTTTGTTAGAAAAAATTCCCAAACACTGTAGCATACCATGATGAGTCCTAATGCCCTTATGATCTACACTAGAAACTTCTTGAAGTCAGACACCTCATCTTATCCTTTCTTTGGTCTCACAACAGTGTGGAACCTCCCTTGACCTGTGAGCCAGCCTTCGGAAGAAGGAGCCCATGGAAATCCTTGCCCTGGCGATGCTCTGGGCTCCAGAACAGCTCTGTCTAAGCATCTCCCATGACCCCTGGCAACCTTGCTGTCTGCTTCTCACTAAAGCCAATTAAATTACTCCCGGTACCTGCAGCCTTCTCGCTGTTACCAAGACTCATTGAGTTCTCGTCCAAGAGGGAAGTGATGTCTTCTCCAAATATCCTGAGGCAATTTTCAATGAGAAATTGTACAAGACAAATCTGTAACACAAAAAGACAAGACTGGGGTGCTCTTTTCCATAGGGCATAGTTATAAATCACATTTTGTATACAGACCTTGGATCTAAGAAAAAATGGGAAGGACTTCTCAGAAAAATTCAGAGTTGATAAAAATATGTAGAAACCAGGGGCTCCTGGGTGGCTCAGTCGGTTAAGCGTCTGCGTTCGGCTCAGGTCATAATCCCAGGGTGCTGGGATCAGCCCTACATCGCGCTCCCTGCTCAGCGGGAAGCCTGCTTCTCCCTCTCCCAATCCCCCTGCTTGTGTTCCCTCTCTCGCTGTGTCTCTCTCAGTCAAGTAAATAAATAAAAGTTTAAAAAAAACACAAAAAAAACAGAAACACATAGAAACCAGAGTTCTCTCAGTAATAACTTAGAAAGAGTGATACTTTCCCGTGTACTTTGGGTACACATTTTAAAATACTGCCCATCCGTGGGCTAAAGTTATAATGCGTGGCCTATTTTAAGAGCTAACATTTTGGGATCAGTGGTTACGTCTTTAAGCCTAGGATAAAATTCGGGGCCCCTCTGTTGGGCGTCTGACTCTTGATTTCGGCGCAGATCACGATCTCATGGTGGTGAGATCCAGCCCCACATGGAGCCAACTTTGGGCTCCGTGCTCAGCGGGGAATGGGCTTGGGCTTCTCCCTCTCCCTCTCCCTCTTCTTCTGCCCCTGCCCCGCTCACACTCTCTCTTTCCCTCTCTCAAATAAATACATATCAAAAAATAAATAAAACAAGGATAATTTTCAAAGTAGCCTACCTTATTAAAGTTTACTTATTTTTTGCTTTTAAATTTTGTTTCCAGTTTTATTGAGCTGTAACTGATGTATACCATCTTATGAAACTTTATAAAGTATGAACAAAAACTTAAGAAAACCATTTCTTAAATGAAGAAGTATCATAAAGTTGGGAAGCAGGGATTTTGGTGGGGTTGTGAGGGAAAACCCACACAGCTGGAGAGAAAACGTATCTGTCTGTCTAACTTCAGTCCCTTCTCACGCATTGCTTTGCCTCATGCTGGCTCTCTCTGGGTGAGCTTGGGGAAGACCTGTCATCTTATTAGGATATTCTGGAATCTCTTGCTAGTTTCCATATGACGTAGCAGAGGTGAAAGAGTAGCTGAGTACTTTTCTAGATGAGCCACAATTGGCAGAGGAAGGCCAATGTGTTTGGAGCCATGGGGGCTCATATTGCCCAAGCCACCCAGGATGTGCCAGTGATGACCGGAGGAGCTGGCTGTTGTCGCCATTGTGTAGTGAGGAAACCATGGCTTTGCCCAAGGTTACGAGTCCCTCAGGGATTAGGCTGAGAGTTGAACCTTGACCGGTGAAGCTCCAAAGCCCAGGTTCTTTCCTATCGTATCACATGACTCTTCTCTCTCTCGTTTAGTCAGTCTAGCGTTTAGTCTCCTGGAGGGGGAAGAAGTGACTCGACTGCTCCGAGTTTCCCGTTTAACGACACCCCTTCCCAGACCCCGCCAGAGTAGCATAAAGAACTCTGCCACTCCACAGGGGCCTAACGAAAATGTGCACTTCACAAAGTTCCATCCGTCAGAGTTACTACTGCACATGTCTGGTTCAAAGTAGGGATTCTACCCCCTGGGGGACAAAAATGAGAGCTCTCATTACCTTTCTTATCAAGTTGTCTTCCAATTCCAAGCTGCCGGAATCAGGTGGGTAAAGAACGCTTGGGGCTATACAAACGGATAAATTATAAGGTTTCATCTGATTGGATGAGGAATGTTGCTCAATGTTGTATAGCACTCCAAAAAGGTATCGCAAGAGAACAACATTTGCTCTTGGCAGCTGGGCTAAAAGCCTAAGGTCAGAAAAACACACTTTTAAATTAGGCAAGTGATTCCACTTAGGAGGTTGGAAAAACAGAGACAGGGAACAGGATACATCCTTGTATATCTAGCACACAACCCGCTCTAGCAGAGTTCCAGGCATGAATGTAGACAAAATTGTTGCCCTGAATTCAGTTCCTGAGCCAGATAAACACTTCTCTGGTTAGGTAAATGTCTGACAGATTTTTAAGGTCATAGCCCTGGCAGTTGTTGCTCTTGATCTGTCTTGGACCAGGGAATTTTGTCTACCAGTTTCAAGGATCCAGAAGGTGTCAAACGGCCAAGGAGTCCACATTAATAAGATCAGGAGAAGAACAATAATAGCCCTAAAGCGTGCCTCTATTCTGAAGCTGGGCCCCATGGGTGTGAAGACTTGAAACTCTTTGGCGTTGGTCATGATTATAGTGGGCAAAGCTGGAAAACGTAAGCCAATGTTTTCCTCATAGTATGTTGGGTGTATTTTGGAGATGTGACCAGAGTAGAGTAATTATTGCATCGTTACCTCCGAGCTGCAGTTATCATCTCCTCTTTGTTGCCTTGATCAATAACACCGAGCCATTTGTCATAGAGGTCAGATAAAAATACACTTCCTGGGATATTTCTTAGAAAGTCCTTAGGGAGATAAAAAAATATGTGTATATATTATAGAAAATATGTATTGGAAATATTCCAGAGAAAATATGTACGTAAAAAATTCAGTTCAGCCCCCACTTCCTTTACAGATACCCAAACTGGGACCCACACGGAGCTCGGCTCTGACTCTCCATTGACTTGCACACGCAGGAGCAGGTGCTTGGATTTTCTCCCGCTAAAACTTAGAGGCATAAAAGCAGAGCTTAGCCTGTGGTGGCAATGAAGATAAAGCTCCCTTCTATCATCTGGAACTTATTTTGTGTGTGTCCTTTTTTTTTGCAAAGTACCACAAACTGACTGGGTCTGGCTATAGACCATCCTAAATCCTATTAGCTTCCTGGACAGAAATACACATACCCATGTTGCTTGTTTTAGACAAGGTGCTAGCTCTTAACTCTAGCAAGAAAAGGCCTGAAACAATCAAAACACAAACAGGTGGGCTCTTGCACACATATTAGGAAAGAACTAGGTCTTCTCACTCGGGGTATGTGTGCTCCCTGGAAGAAAGCTACTCTCACAATTGCTTCATTCTTCCTTTTCTTAACTGTCTAAAAGTCGAGAGTCTAATGGCAGACTCACTGTGGTCCTGAGGATAGATTCATTTCTAGTTTAGGACAATTGTCCAGTTAGTTTGCCATGATATTATCAAGGCCAAGGTTGCAGAGTCTGATTCTCCACCAAGATCCGTCAACTTCAGGAAGAGAAAACTTTAGAAATGTCTAAGCACTCTCCCCACAAGTGCTCACCCTCTTCCTAGCCGGTGCTTATAACACGGAATCAGGAAAGAACCTCCTAACTCTTGCTAGAAAATCGATTCCATGTGTGCACCTTACAGAGGGCAACACTCATCTTGCTACCTAGTGTATCATCATTCTTCTCCTGTCTCCTGATGCCTGTATGTATATTACTACTGGATATCACTATGGCCCCAGTGTAGGAGTGGTTACCTAAGTCATTTCTGGACCTTGCTATTGATCACATCTTCGAACATTAACGGGGGACAAGGGAAGACCAAATGTGACTGAGATTCTACGACTGTATTCATTACTACGTTAACATAGGGTTGTTCAGAGCCGTTCATAAGTGCCAAGGTGGATGGATTAAATTCTTTCCCTGTTCTCTTTCTTTTGGAAAGTTTGCCTTCATTAGGAGGGTGGTGAGGATGTTTTCATGGGTAAACTGTGTGTATGTATCGGTGCGTATTTGGAAATTTATTATCATGACTAGTAGTCATTTCAGTATTAGTATTTTGCATGGAGTCTTCAGGAGTGAAGGTGGGGAGGGCGGTGTGTAGTGAAAACAGAAAGTATTTCTAACACATGGGGCTTTTAACTCCTAAAGTAGCTTCCTTAAATTTTGATTTTGTCAAGCGTTTTTCAGCTTGTCAGGTTCTTAATCTATTATGCCCATTATGGTTCTTGAGCAGTCTTGATGAAGGACACCAATCATAGCTTCAGTTACTCGTGTGTGGATAATGCTAGAACCTTCCCTACCTTTAAGACGGATGCGACCACATGAACAGATTCGCTGTACGGGTTCACTTTGACGCCAGAATTTAGTTTCTCCTTTAGGACATGGCAGGATTTTATATTGGCTGAGTTTCTGAATATGCCTTCTGTGAGGGGCCCTTTTTGATTAATAAAGGAAAGCATAGCCTGTAGGAAGAAAAGAAAAGTATAAGGCTTCTCATATCCACAAACGCAGAGCACAAGCTTGCCTCCATTTTGAAAGAGGAGGGGAATGTAATGGTACACTGTTTTAGAGCGGGAAGGACCAAAGTCAATTTAGATTGTTTTTTTTTTTTTTTTTCAGTGTCTCTCTATATACTTTCTACCGAAATATCCATTTTACAGTCATACACTGAAACATTTTAAACACTTCTTTTAATCAGATTTTCCTTTCCATTGAGTTTCCACTCTTAAATCTAACTTCTCTGCTTCAAGGCCTTTGCGGAATCACCGTCTGTTTCCTACTTTACCATGCTTTTCTCATTATTCCCCTACGTAGATGCTCTTCCCCAAGTATGGAAGTCTATTTAGGGAATACTCATTTCCCATTTGTTTATTTCTCTTTAAGTGACTGTATACTCCTTTCCTAATTGTTCTATTTCCTTCCCCCTTTTAAAGTCAGGCTCAGAAACTCTCTTGTCCTTCTCTGATTACCCTCCCTTCTCATGAGTCTTAAATTGTCTTTTGCTCTATCTTCATGTCCTCTCTCTGCTGTGTAGAATCTTAATAAGGGCTGGACTCAGGGAATCCAATGGATCTGAAGTCTATTATGCTACTTATCTATTGTGTGAGCTGGGGCACATACATCCTGTACTGAGGCTTTTCTGATTCGGTTAGCAAGTGTGGAGGATGATAATCCTAGCTAGCCCCTAAATTTGCTGTGATGCAAGGACCTGCGGTAGTGGCTAGCAGGTAACAAAGTAGCTAATATGATACATTTCTTCATAGCTAGGAGAATGTTCCCTACATCCCGTACAGTGCTTGCAGAGACACTGAATACTCAGTGAAGGTCCACACTGACAATTCACTACAGCAGTTTGAGATAACACAGGCCAAACTCTGTGGCTTTCATTTGACATATTCTGTTAGGATTAACAGATTCCTATTTGCCAGAGGATGAGTCTATGTTCGTGTCAGATGTTTGCAGTTGTTAGACTGAGTAGACTCCGTTGAAGGAGACTTGAGACTCATGTGAGTGCAGGAAGGCAATGAAGGGAGAGTGTGAAGATGAGGTGGACTCTCAGAGACTCACATACACAGAGTCATTTTGACTGATCTGAACAGGCCTCGGTGGGTCTTTGCGGAAACAAGACCCAAGTGGAATGGACAAGAATGTCTTTTCCTGTTGTATTTGCCTCATGACTCTGCTGGACCTAAGTCAGATTCTGTTCCTTGAAATAACAGTAACAGAGCTTCTCAGCCCAAGCCAGGGGCTGTCTAATGACTTCTCCATTTGGGGATAGATTTGGATGAGGACACGTGGCCTCTCAGAGTTTCCCCACCTCAGGAGGGCTCTAGAAGTCCAAAAGGAGATGACCTACCAGAATTGGGAAGGGCAAGTTGTCTTTATCACACACATCCATGAGGGGAACTCCAAAGAGCTGTCCTGGCTTTGCGGAAGGTGGGGCTGTGCACTGGTTGTGCTGACAAGTGCTGGAACTCTGACAAAAGGCCCTGTCACTGAGAGAACGGCTTGTCACAGTCTTACGGCCGGAGTCTAAGGAAGAAGAGAGAGTACTAGTAGTACTAGTTGTTGTTTAATACGCTGAACCTTCTTTGTCCTTTTTTTTTTTTTTTTTTTTACAGATTTTATTTAAATTTTGACAGAGGGAGAGAGACAGCGAGAGAGGGAACACAAGCAGAGGGAGGGGGAGAGGGAGAAGCAGGCTTCCCTCGGAGCAGGGAGCCCGATGCGGGGCTCGATCCCAGGACCCCGGGATCATGACCTGAGCTGAAGGCAGACGCTTAATGACTGAGCCACCCAGGCGCCCCAGACACATCTTAATTCCTGATGACTTGTATTTTCCTAAAGATTTCCTCAAAGCAATGTGGTAAGCATCATAAAGCCAAGAAATGTCAGAAATATGGAGGGATTGATGATACGTGTCTCCAGGTTCTGAATCGAAAGTCTACCTTCTAAGGTGGACTGCTGCCAGGTTGCTGTGATTAGCTAGGCTCAAATCGTACTAGCTCTAGTCTCAGGGGCACTTCTCCTAGTCCTATTAATGGCTTTTTTTGGATTCCATCCATCATCTTATTTAGTGTTTACCACAATTCTAAGATTTAGACATTATTTTTATCCACATTTTAGAGATGAATAAACTGATGCTGAGCTAGAAAAACTGATCAAAGGTAATATAGCTGGTAAATGGGGGCACAGGACTTTACACTCTGGAGAGGTTTTTTGACATCAAGTCAAGTCCTTTTTTCTCAATGATGCCAGTTCTTTTCAACCTGTTTCAAAGGGCACTGGAATCCTGTGGTGCCTCAAGAGCCCCTGAGCCAAAAGAGGAGGGAGGGGAAGAAAGGCCCCTTGCTCTGGCTTCAACCAGAGCACATCTAATATACATAAATATATATACTATGGTTATATTTATATAGTATAAGTATCTAATTATATATTATATATATATATATATATATAACTACATATATGTGTATGATGTTGTATATATATATAGATATATAGCACCCACTTAGAATTTTGTTAGAAAAAATTCCCAAACACTGTAGCATACCATGATGAGTCCTAATGCCCTTATGATCTACACTAGAAACTTCTTGAAGTCAGACACCTCATCTTATCCTTTCTTTGGTCTCACAACAGTGTGGAACCTCCCTTGACCTGTGAGCCAGCCTTCGGAAGAAGGAGCCCATGGAAATCCTTGCCCTGGCGATGCTCTGGGCTCCAGAACAGCTCTGTCTAAGCATCTCCCATGACCCCTGGCAACCTTGCTGTCTGCTTCTCACTAAAGCCAATTAAATTACTCCCGGTACCTGCAGCCTTCTCGCTGTTACCAAGACTCATTGAGTTCTCGTCCAAGAGGGAAATGATGTCTTCTCCAAATATCCTGAGGCAATTTTCAATGAGAAATTGTACAAGACAAATCTGTAACACAAAAAGACAAGACTGGGGTGCTCTTTTCCATAGGGCATAGTTATAAATCACATTTTGTATACAGACCTTGGATCTAAGAAAAAATGGGAAGGACTTCTCAGAAAAATTCAGAGTTGATAAAAATATGTAGAAACCAGGGGCTCCTGGGTGGCTCAGTCGGTTAAGCGTCTGCGTTCGGCTCAGGTCATAATCCCAGGGTGCTGGGATCAGCCCTACATCGCGCTCCCTGCTCAGCGGGAAGCCTGCTTCTCCCTCTCCCAATCCCCCTGCTTGTGTTCCCTCTCTCGCTGTGTCTCTCTCAGTCAAGTAAATAAATAAAAGTTTAAAAAAAACACAAAAAAAAACAGAAACACATAGAAACCAGAGTTCTCTCAGTAATAACTTAGAAAGAGTGATACTTTCCCGTGTACTTTGGGTACACATTTTAAAATACTGCCCATCCGTGGGCTAAAGTTATAATGCGTGGCCTAGTTTAAGAGCTAACATTTTGGGATCAGTGGTTACGTCTTTAAGCCTAGGATAAATTTCGGGGCCCCTCTGTTGGGCGTCTGACTCTTGATTTCGGCGCAGATCACGATCTCATGGTGGTGAGATCCAGCCCCACATGGAGCCAACTTTGGGCTCCGTGCTCAGCGGGGAATGGGCTTGGGCTTCTCCCTCTCCCTCTCCCTCTTCTTCTGCCCCTGCCCCGCTCACACTCTCTCTTTCCCTCTCTCAAATAAATACATATCAAAAAATAAATAAAACAAGGATAATTTTCAAAGTAGCCTACCTTATTAAAGTTTACTTATTTTTTGCTTTTAAATTTTGTTTCCAGTTTTATTGAGCTGTAACTGATGTATACCATCTTATGAAACTTTATAAAGTATGAACAAAACTTAAGAAAACCATTTCTTAAATGAAGAAGTATCATAAAGTTGGGAAGCAGGGATTTTGGTGGGGTTGTGAGGGAAAACCCACACAGCTGGAGAGAAAACGTATCTGTCTGTCTAACTTCAGTCCCTTCTCACGCATTGCTTTGCCTCATGCTGGCTCTCTCTGGGTGAGCTTGGGGAAGACCTGTCATCTTATTAGGATATTCTGGAATCTCTTGCTAGTTTCCATATGACGTAGCAGAGGTGAAAGAGTAGCTGAGTACTTTTCTAGATGAGCCACAATTGGCAGAGGAAGGCCAATGTGTTTGGAGCCATGGGGGCTCATATTGCCCAAGCCACCCAGGATGTGCCAGTGATGACCGGAGGAGCTGGCTGTTGTCGCCATTGTGTAGTGAGGAAACCATGGCTTTGCCCAAGGTTACGAGTCCCTCAGGGATTAGGCTGAGAGTTGAACCTTGACTGGTGAAGCTCCAAAGCCCAGGTTCTTTCCTATCGTATCACATGACTCTTCTCTCTCTCGTTTAGTCAGTCTAGCGTTTAGTCTCCTGGGGGGGGAAGAAGTGACTCGACTGCTCCGAGTTTCCCGTTTAACGACACCCCTTCCCAGACCCCGCCAGAGTAGCATAAAGAACTCTGCCACTCCACAGGGGCCTAACGAAAATGTGCACTTCACAAAGTTCCATCCGTCAGAGTTACTACTGCACATGTCTGGTTCAAAGTAGGGATTCTACCCCCTGGGGGACAAAAATGAGAGCTCTCATTACCTTTCTTATCAAGTTGTCTTCCAATTCCAAGCTGCCGGAATCAGGTGGGTAAAGAACGCTTGGGGCTATACAAACGGATAAATTATAAGGTTTCATCTGATTGGATGAGGAATGTTTCTCAATGTTGTATAGCACTCCAAAAAGGTATCGCAAGAGAACAACATTTGCTCTTGGCAGCTGGGCTAAAAGCCTAAGGTCAGAAAAACACACTTTTAAATTAGGCAAGTGATTCCACTTAGGAGGTTGGAAAAACAGAGACAGGGAACAGGATACATCCTTGTATATCTAGCACACAACCCGCTCTAGCAGAGTTCCAGGCATGAATGTAGACAAAATTGTTGCCCTGAATTCAGTTCCTGAGCCAGATAAACACTTCTCTGGTTAGGTAAATGTCTGACAGATTTTTAAGGTCATAGCCCTGGCAGTTGTTGCTCTTGATCTGTCTTGGACCAGGGAATTTTGTCTACCAGTTTCAAGGATCCAGAAGGTGTCAAACGGCCAAGGAGTCCACATTAATAAGATCAGGAGAAGAACAATAATAGCCCTAAAGCGTGCCTCTATTCTGAAGCTGGGCCCCATGGGTGTGAAGACTTGAAACTCTTTGGCGTTGGTCATGATTATAGTGGGCAAAGCTGGAAAACGTAAGCCAATGTTTTCCTCATAGTATGTTGGGTGTATTTTGGAGATGTGACCAGAGTAGAGTAATTATTGCATCGTTACCTCCGAGCTGCAGTTATCATCTCCTCTTTGTTGCCTTGATCAATAACACCGAGCCATTTGTCATAGAGGTCAGATAAAAATACACTTCCTGGGATATTTCTTAGAAAGTCCTTAGGGAGATAAAAAAATATGTGTATATATTATAGAAAATATGTATTGGAAATATTCCAGAGAAAATATGTACGTAAAAAATTCAGTTCAGCCCCCACTTCCTTTACAGATACCCAAACTGGGACCCACACGGAGCTCGGCTCTGACTCTCCATTGACTTGCACACGCAGGAGCAGGTGCTTGGATTTTCTCCCGCTAAAACTTAGAGGCATAAAAGCAGAGCTTAGCCTGTGGTGGCAATGAAGATAAAGCTCCCTTCTATCATCTGGAACTTATTTTGTGTGTGTCCTTTTTTTTTGCAAAGTACCACAAACTGACTGGGTCTGGCTATAGACCATCCTAAATCCTATTAGCTTCCTGGACAGAAATACACATACCCATGTTGCTTGTTTTAGACAAGGTGCTAGCTCTTAACTCTAGCAAGAAAAGGCCTGAAACAATCAAAACACAAACAGGTGGGCTCTTGCACACATATTAGGAAAGAACTAGGTCTTCTCACTCGGGGTATGTGTGCTCCCTGGAAGAAAGCTACTCCCACAATTGCTTCATTCTTCCTTTTCTTAACTGTCTAAAAGTCGAGAGTCTAATGGCAGACTCACTGTGGTCCTGAGGATAGATTCATTTCTAGTTTAGGCCAATTGTCCAGTTAGTTTGCCATGATATTATCAAGGCCAAGGTTGCAGAGTCTGATTCTCCACCAAGATCCGTCAACTTCAGGAAGAGAAAACTTTAGAAATGTCTAAGCACTCTCCCCACAAGTGCTCACCCTCTTCCTAGCCGGTGCTTATAACACGGAATCAGGAAAGAACCTCCTAACTCTTGCTAGAAAATCGATTCCATGTGTGCACCTTACAGAGGGCAACACTCATCTTGCTACCTAGTGTATCATCATTCTTCTCCTGTCTCCTGATGCCTGTATGTATATTACTACTGGATATCACTATGGCCCCAGTGTAGGAGTGGTTACCTAAGTCATTTCTGGACCTTGCTATTGATCACATCTTCGAACATTAACGGGGGACAAGGGAAGTCCAAATGTGACTGAGATTCTACGACTGTAGTCATTACTACGTTAACATAGGGTTGTTCAGAGCCGTTCATAAGTGCCAAGCTGCATGGATTAAATTCTTTCCCTGTTCTCTTTCTTTTGGAAAGTTTGCCTTCATTAGGAGGGTGGTGAGGATGTTTTCATGGGTAAACTGTGTGTATGTATCGGTGCGTATTTGGAAATTTATTATCATGACTAGTAGTCATTTCAGTATTAGTATTTTGCATGGAGTCTTCAGGAGTGAAGGTGGGGAGGGCGGTGTGTAGTGAAAACAGAAAGTATTTCTAACACATGGGGCTTTTAACTCCTAAAGTAGCTTCCTTAAATTTTGATTTTGTCAAGCGTTTTTCAGCTTGTCAGGTTCTTAATCTATTATGCCCATTATGGTTCTTGAGCAGTCTTGATGAAGGACACCAATCATAGCTTCAGTTACTCGTGTGTGGATAATGCTAGAACCTTCCCTACCTTTAAGACGGATGCGACCACATGAACAGATTCGCTGTACGGGTTCACTTTGACGCCAGAATTTAGTTTCTCCTTTAGGACATGGCAGGATTTTATATTGGCTGAGTTTCTGAATATGCCTTCTGTGAGGGGCCCTTTTTGATTAATAAAGGAAAGCATAGCCTGTAGGAAGAAAAGAAAAGTATATGGCATCTCATATCCACAAACGCAGAGCACAAGCTTGCCTCCATTTTGAAAGAGGAGGGGAATGTAATGGTACACTGTTTTAGAGCGGGAAGGACCAAAGTCAATTTAGATTGTTTTTTTTTTTTTTTTTCAGTGTCTCTCTATATACTTTCTACCGAAATATCCATTTTACAGTCATACACTGAAACATTTTAAACACTTCTTTTAATCAGATTTTCCTTTCCATTGAGTTTCCACTCTTAAATCTAACTTCTCTGCTTCAAGGCCTTTGCGGAATCACCGTCTGTTTCCTACTTTACCATGCTTTTCTCATTATTCCCCTACGTAGATGCTCTTCCCCAAGTATGGAAGTCTATTTAGGGAATACTCATTTCCCATTTGTTTATTTCTCTTTAAGTGACTGTATACTCCTTTCCTAATTGTTCTATTTCCTTCCCCCTTTTAAAGTCAGGCTCAGAAACTCTCTTGTCCTTCTCTGATTACCCTCCCTTCTCATGAGTCTTAAATTGTCTTTTGCTCTATCTTCATGTCCTCTCTCTGCTGTGTAGAATCTTAATAAGGGCTGGACTCAGGGAATCCAATGGATCTGAAGTCTATTATGCTACTTATCTATTGTGTGAGCTGGGGCACATACATCCTGTACTGAGGCTTTTCTGATTCGGTTAGCAAGTGTGGAGGATGATAATCCTAGCTAGCCCCTAAATTTGCTGTGATGCAAGGACCTGCGGTAGTGGCTAGCAGGTAACAAAGTAGCTAATATGATACATTTCTTCATAGCTAGGAGAATGTTCCCTACATCCCGTACAGTGCTTGCAGAGACACTGAATACTCAGTGAAGGTCCACACTGACAATTCACTACAGCAGTTTGAGATAACACAGGCCAAACTCTGTGGCTTTCATTTGACATATTCTGTTAGGATTAACAGATTCCTATTTGCCAGAGGATGAGTCTATGTTCGTGTCAGATGTTTGCAGTTGTTAGACTGAGTAGACTCCGTTGAAGGAGACTTGAGACTCATGTGAGTGCAGGAAGGCAATGAAGGGAGAGTGTGAAGATGAGGTGGACTCTCAGAGACTCACATACACAGAGTCATTTTGACTGATCTGAACAGGCCTCGGTGGGTCTTTGCGGAAACAAGACCCAAGTGGAATGGACAAGAATGTCTTTTCCTGTTGTATTTGCCTCATGACTCTGCTGGACCTAAGTCAGATTCTGTTCCTTGAAATAACAGTAACAGAGCTTCTCAGCCCAAGCCAGGGGCTGTCTAAGGACTTCTCCATTTGGGGATAGATTTGGATGAGGACACGTGGCCTCTCAGAGTTTCCCCACCTCAGGAGGGCTCTAGAAGTCCAAAAGGAGATGACCTACCAGAATTGGGAAGGGCAAGTTGTCTTTATCACACACATCCATGAGGGGAACTCCAAAGAGCTGTCCTGGCTTTGCGGAAGGTGGGGCTGTGCACTGGTTGTGCTGACAAGTGCTGGAACTCTGACAAAAGGCCCTGTCACTGAGAGAACGGCTTGTCACAGTCTTACGGCCGGAGTCTAAGGAAGAAGAGAGAGTACTAGTAGTACTAGTTGTTGTTTAATACGCTGAACCTTCTTTGTCCTTTTTTTTTTTTTTTTTTTTACAGATTTTATTTAAATTTTGACAGAGGGAGAGAGACAGCGAGAGAGGGAACACAAGCAGAGGGAGGGGGAGAGGGAGAAGCAGGCTTCCCTCGGAGCAGGGAGCCCGATGCGGGGCTCGATCCCAGGACCCCGGGATCATGACCTGAGCTGAAGGCAGACGCTTAATGACTGAGCCACCCAGGCGCCCCAGACACATCTTAATTCCTGATGACTTGTATTTTCCTAAAGATTTCCTCAAAGCAATGTGGTAAGCATCATAAAGCCAAGAAATGTCAGAAATATGGAGGGATTGATGATACGTGTCTCCAGGTTCTGAATCGAAAGTCTACCTTCTAAGGTGGACTGCTGCCAGGTTGCTGTGATTAGCTAGGCTCAAATCGTACTAGCTCTAGTCTCAGGGGCACTTCTCCTAGTCCTATTAATGGCTTTTTTTGGATTCCATCCATCATCTTATTTAGTGTTTACCACAATTCTAAGATTTAGACATTATTTTTATCCACATTTTAGAGATGAATAAACTGATGCTGAGCTAGAAAAACTGATCAAAGGTAATATAGCTGGTAAATGGGGGCACAGGACTTTACACTCTGGAGAGGTTTTTTGACATCAAGTCAAGTCCTTTTTTCTCAATGATGCCAGTTCTTTTCAACCTGTTTCAAAGGGCACTGGAATCCTGTGGTGCCTCAAGAGCCCCTGAGCCAAAAGAGGAGGGAGGGGAAGAAAGGCCCCTTGCTCTGGCTTCAACCAGAGCACATCTAATATACATAAATATATATACTATGGTTATATTTATATAGTATAAGTATCTAATTATATATTATATATATATATATATATATAACTACATATATGTGTATGATGTTGTATATATATATAGATATATAGCACCCACTTAGAATTTTGTTAGAAAAAATTCCCAAACACTGTAGCATACCATGATGAGTCCTAATGCCCTTATGATCTACACTAGAAACTTCTTGAAGTC